AGCTTTCCCTAGCTTTCGCTATTCGTGATGTAATCTTCTTTCTAACACCACCTCCACCACCTGCGACTAAGCTCCCGAGGTACTTAAAGCTCTCAACTACTACTAGTTGATCACCACAGAGGGCGAGTGCAGGCACAGGCTCTTGCCAATCTTGAACCATCACTTTGTACTGATGGTGCAAAGCACATACCTGGGTATTTCGATCGCGAAGTGGTTAAAGCTTGTTGGACTGTCTGTCCATTGTAACTCAGAAAGGCGATGTCATTGGCATATTCTAGGTCAAGAACTCTGTTCCCTGGGAGGCGCTCGACTCCACCGTTTGCTAAACCGGGCAAAGCATTCTGTAGAACATCCTCTATGGCGAAGTTTAAAAGGAATGGGGATATAGGGCAGCCTTGTCGCACTCCATTGGAGCTTGCGAAAGGGGGTGAAAGCTGGCCATAAGCCGTAACCCTACCTGAGGTATGACGATACAACTCTTTGAGGATCGACATACTTCTGAAGGACTCCATTCCTCAGCAAACAGCTGCATAGTGCGACACTATCAACAGAATCGAAGACCGCGCGAATGTCTAAGAACACAATGATCGTTTGTCTTTAATAGGCATGACAGTGCTCTAGCAGATTCAAAAGAATGAAGATCCAGTCGACGCATCCACGACCGGCACTAAACCCAGCCTGCTGCTCGCAGGCATGTGCCTCACGCGTTTTGTACTATCTATGACGAATAATGGACGCCAACAGCTTTGACGCTATCGCGATTAGGCTTATACCCCTATGATTGGCACAGTCACTGCGCGGGCCATTTTTAAAGTTGGGGACGACAATCAACTCTCCCCACATAGAAGAGACATACTCAGTGTTCCAAACTTTAGAGAACAGGACTTGTCGTTCTCTAACAAGCTTTATTCCACCATGTTTAAACAGAGCTGGGGAAAGCGTTCAAAGCCCGGTGCTTTAAAAAGTCCCAAGGCCTGGATTTCCTCAAGAATTTCTTCCTCAGAGGGTGGGTCTGTTGATACAGACCATGGGACGTGTGCCGGGTTAGCTGTGTGAAAAGCTGACGCTGGTGGCCAGCTAAACTGTGCTTTGAAGTGCTCCGCCCAGCGTTAAAGATGTCGCTGTTGATTGTGAATGAGTGAGCCATCGGCTTCATAGATCGTTTCGCTTACACCCAAAGTTTTTCAACCGGTGGCTCGAAGGAAATGAAACAGCTTACGGGAAATTCCCATGACGGCAGCACGTTCCATCTCTGATGCGCGTTGAGACCACCAGATCTCGCGATCTCTGCGCAGGCTTACGGTAAGATCACGTGTTACGTTTTGCTCGCTGCCCCTCGGAAGTGACCGACGTGAATGGAGAAGCCTAGAGACTCCGCAGACTTCCAGGGTGACACGACACGGCGTGTCAGACCACAACTAACTAAACCAGCAGGATGCACAACATTCTTGATAAGCGCCCAGTGCTCATTGACGTTATCAGGAGGGGTAGGTTCTAGCTTTTCAGCTAGCACGTTTTGAAAGACGGCTAAGCATACTGGTTGAGACAACTTATCGCAGTCTAACCGCCACTGTGTCGTACGTTTAGGACGCCCACCGAAGCACGCGGCTAGCTTGGTGCAAACTAACGCGTGATCGGATTTGAGGGGAGTGCTCCAGTACGATAGGCAGTCTTGTATGCAACCCCGCTATTTGTGGCTTATAGCAATGTGGTCTATCTGCGTTCGTCGCTGATTCGAGGAGGGTGAATGCCGGGTGGTGTACCGGCAGTTGGAGCGACTGAAGTTCGCACTGGCGAGGAATAGGCGGTG